TCGTAAAGGATGTCAAGAACCAAAATCCGCCAACGTTGATTCTTTACTGCGGCTGAAATATTCATTTTTAGAGCGTTAGTGAATTAAAAAAAAGCAGTATAAAAACCGGAATGTCCAATGGCTGAAAATTTTTTCACTTGTTATTTACAGTAAGATAAATACATTCACCAACTTTTATTGAAATAAAACCATTTAAACTGGGTGTTCGGATTTATATGTCACTTAGTATAATATAAGTGCCTGAGGTGAATAACCCCCCCCCCCAGCTTTAAAGCTAAAAAACTCAGGAATTATATCAAAAAAATTTAAAAAACGTAGTAGTAGAAAGCTTTTTTATTTAAGGTAAGAGTAAAAGATAAATAGTAACACAGAAACCAGCATGGAAATAAACATAACAATTTTTTAAAACTCTTGCCATGAGCCTGATTAAACTACCACAGTAATTTAAGGCCCGAAAACAAAATATTTCTTTCTTATGAAATTATTAATAAAACTCAAAGTTTTTGGCATTTTTCAGCACCTAAAATCAACAAAAAAACATTTTATTACATAAACTTAAGAGATAATAACAATGGGCCTTATTAAACCCCGGGGGTAATAAGGCCACTTTTTAAGTTATTACAAGACTTCTTATGTTAAGGCTTAAATGATATATCCTAAATCAGACTTTGGATTGGGAAATTAGAAATATTGTACTTGAACGACTAAGAGGTTCGATTGAATACAAATAAACAGTCCATCACTATGGACCCTAGTTAAACTAATGATAACGATACTTATTCATCAGAGTTTTGACAATAAAACAATTCCTTATCGTTTTTGGTCAAGCCTACGTATCCTTCGTGGTACCAAATGTGACATTTAACACACTGTCTCATATCCGACACACGATTTTACTTGCAAACACAGCAAAACCAAGAATCTTCTGACGGAACTTTGCTTCTTTTTCTTTTATCACTATGAGTTCGTTGTTGGTTTCCATCTTTAGTTTTCTTTTCTGTTTCTTTTATTTTTCTTTTCTAATTTTTCACTGTTGTTTTCTTTGACTTCGCGTTTTCATTCAATGCTTCTCGTTCTTTGAATAGGTCTTTGGTAATTCGTTGGCCTTTATAATTAATAGCTTTTCTCCTAGGCTTATTTTTTTTGCAGCATAGTTCGGAGTTGGCAATACGAGACCTAAATTTCTTAGCTTTGAAGTTCGCTAAAGGTATGTTGTCATCAGAACTGAAACAATCGCCGTCTTCGATGTTTCCTTTAGAACAATATACAGTTGGGGTTTTCCTTTACACGACGTGTAGATCTTGAAAACATAAGCAATTTTTCTCAGTACCATACACACCAATGTCTTAAGGGAACCGAGATAAAGGGCTCTGCAACATCAAAAATATCTGAATACCGTCCTGTAGCTGCGACATCCCCGACTGGTACCAGGACACTAGCTCAACCCGTCGACAGAACTGGGTCGGGGTCAGTGTGTCAGGTCAGTATGCAACCTTCAACCGACGGTTACGGTCACGCGTGTAGAGGTAATCGCGTAGACGAGAATCCCTCAACAAGCACTAGAGATGTGGCTAGAGAAGTGCAAGTATCAAAAACTAAAGTGTCGCAAACGCTGCGTGAAGAGGGGCTGTATCCGTTTCACGTCCAACGAGTACAAACACATCAACCTGACGATTTTCCAGCAAGAGTGCGGCTTTGTGAGTGGTTGTTGCATCAACATGACAATAATCCGGACTTTTTGAAGTGCATATTGGTGACAGACGAATCTACATTCACGCGTAATGGGGTGAATAACTTTCGCAACACTAATGTTTGGTCAGTAGAAAATCCGCACGCTGTCCGTCGGGCACATTTTCAACAAACATTTTCGGTGAACGGTATGCTCATTCGACCATTTATTCTCCCCAATCGATTGGACAGAATGCAAAACCTAGACTTTTTACGCAACATTTTGCCTTCCCTGTTAGAAGATGTGCCATTAAGAGTAAGACAATCAATGTGCTTTCTGCACGATGGTGCACCGCCCCATTTTAGACGCGAAGTGCGTGAGTTTTTGAATGAATTATTTTCGAATAGGTGGATCGGACGTAATGGACCCGTAGCGTGGCCTCCGCGATCTCCAGACTTAACAACATCTGATTTTTTTCTTTGGGGAGAAATGAAACGCTTAGTGTACAAAACTGAAGTGCATACGGTTGACGAAATTCGTCTCAGAATTGAACAAGCTGGTGCTTTCATTCGGGGGAGGGACTCCATTCTCAAAGCCTGCACCGATGCTTGGCTACGTCGTGCACGCACCTGTGTTTTTGAATCAAACGGCGATAACAATACCTATAAAGTACGTTTACCTAAAAACTGAAAACGCGGCAACGCCGTCATATTTGTTACCTCTGTTCGTGGTCTGCACCACCGCCTGCGTCTGCTCGGTAGCGCATCAGCTGATTTCATTTTCTGTTGGAGCGGTATGATTTCGGACAGAGACGTACTTAGCCCTTCTCGTCAACTGGAGAGTGAGTACTTTTTCCTTTATTTTTTTTTACTTGGTCGCCATCTTTTCACTACACATTACCTTTGTTATTTCAAGGGTAGTTGTTTCTGAAAAGGAAAACCCCAGCTTTGCGGACACCCTGTTTGATGCCAGTTTGGTTCTCTGCTGTACAATAGTAGTTTCAGTATCTGTTTCGGATTCTGAACTATAAATCACATGACGACGATATACAGGAGACTTGTGATGTCTTGAAGTGGAAGGTTGTGGTGACTGCATCATAATGACAACGTTTCTACTAATGATCTGTATCTTAGGTGTTGTTTCTACATTACTCAAGATCTTTTCAGATGACTGGATGATGTCTTTATGTTGTTGATCAGTATTAACCGTTAAGGCAGCGGATCTGTGGCGCTTTGGGCAGAACTTTTTTCAGGTGAAAGTTGAGGTTGCTCTAAAAGAAATGGAGAATCGGCATTGTTCTGAGGCTGTTCTTCTGGCTGATTGACACAATCTATATCGGAGCCGACTGCAGCACTGGGTTCTGTTGGTGGTTAAGATAGATGGAATATGTCAGGTATCTAATACTAGACCTTAGAAATGATAAATTGCTTGATAAGTCGGTGCACGATTCCATGCATATGCTTCTCTATATGAAGCCCTATCAAGTAATTTGCTTGAGCAGCGCTTATACTATTATTTAATATACAGTATCTACCGATCTCCAAACATCGTGGATCTAAACGACTGCCGCGATATACTCTCGCTTCGGTGCGATCATATATCACGGCAATGTTTCATTTACATTCCCGCAAATCGAACGGATGGATCTCAACATAACCTGGGATGATTGAGAAGCAGCGATGCGATGTTGCCGGTTCATGCGCTGTCGCCCAGCTATTTGTTTCATTCCGTTCGCTTCATCTTCTGACAGGTGCCGGGGTGGGGGTATGTGAATTTACGACTAGTCGATGTATTAAATTGGAACGCGTTTCGAGATCGTGGAGATAGATTTTCTGATAGCGACCGCAAAAAATCGATGTTTGAATACTTTGTAAAAAGCTTATATCCTACATCCCATACCCTCCTCCTCGTATTTCACCCCTTTTCTAAGAAGAACATATTTTGAATGTATACATGAGTAATATATGCAACATAATCTATATAACATAAAGGTTTAAAATTGAATTATTAGGAAGAACAGGTAGGCTCAAAGAGCTCATCATATTGATGGAATACGCATCAGCTCGCTATTAAGAAACACTCTGTATAATAGCACATTGGTGTAAGTAAATCTCTGAATCGAGGCATACTCTTGAAAATGCTGGTTGCAAAGTTTACACTTGCACATTCACCATATCCTAGAGTGTTACGTGGAATGGTGTATCAATTTTTTTTAAATGGCGAGAGTGTATGCATCGATATAAGTCGCACCTTCACCGTATTTAAGGATGACTAAATACGCGAATGTTTAAAACTTCTGACATTGTGTGATAAACAGGACGTAAATACTTTTATAAACTTTAAATAAACTAAACATGATGCTGATTCAATGGCAGGCAGATCACATCTACCTAACAACCAGAATTGTTAGCTATTAGTATTCTCTTGAAAATGCTGTTTGCAAAGTTTATAGGTTACACCTTCACCATATCCTAGAGTGTTACGTGCAATGGTGTATCTATTTTAAAAAAAATGGCGAGAGTGTATGCATCGATATAAGTCGCACCTTCACCTTATTTAAGGATGACTAACTACGCGAATGTTAAAGCATCCCACAAACCGGCGCGAAATATTCGCTTTGGCTGCGAAAATTTCGCGGCGATGAATTCGCGATCAGATTAAAACGCGGCGGTTTACGGACAGGCTCAGACTTGTGCGAAGCGAATGCGATTGTTCCAGCGTTTTTATCGCGGCGTATTTCAGTTCGCCTTTGACCGCGTTTTTGACGCCGTTCTTCAAAAATTCGCAATGGCAAAAACGGAATTATTGATAGAAATAGTGAAAAAGTATCCTTGTTTGTATGATTTGTCGAACGATGAATACAGGAATGTGAGAAAGAAAGACAAGATAAGAATAGGAAAAGAATTAAATACAAATGGTATGTACCTAATATTTTTTATCAACTTGTTAAATAATTTACAGTCTACACAAATGTGAAAACGAACATTCTATATATTGGGCATAGGCATATCAGAATTAAAATAATTTACGAATTTGTCACGAGTAGAAAATGCTAGCCTTGCTGCCCGAGGAGGATCATTTGCTATATCAGTAAAAGCTCCAAGCACGGGTTCTGGGGGTCTAAGAATTGAAAATATTTGTCATTGCCACTTTTACTTCGTAAAAAATTGTGTAAAACACATGCCGTACGTACAATTAGAATAGTAGTATCTACTTTAGTTTCTAATGGCCTGTAAAATATTCGCCATTTTTGAGACAAAATACCAAACGCATTTTCCACGACCCTTCTAGCTCGACAAAGGCTTACATTGTATTTCTCTTTTCTGACGTCTGTTAAAGTCTGCTTATAAGGAAATGGTCTCATAAGGTATGGTTTTAAAGCAAATGCTTCATCACCAATTAAGACGTACGAGCTGATTTCATTTTGCCCAGGGAGAAATCTAGGTGCAGGGACACTCATTAAATTTTGTTCAAATCGTCTTCCCATGTTTGAGGTTTCGAAAATACCCCCATCACTATTTTTTCCGAAACCACCAATATCAACACATATAAATCTATAGTCCGGGCCAACAATGGCCATAAGTACTATTGAATATCTATGTAAATAGCACCAGTAATTGGAGCCACTGTTGTTAGGTCTCTTGATTGTTACATGTTTACCGTCCACGCTGCCAATGCAATTGGGAAATCCCCATCTATTTTCAAATTCTTCAGCACATTTTTTCCATATATTCTCTGTTGGTTCTGGTAAATATATATGCTCCATATGTCTGCATATCGATTCACAGACTTCGGTTACGATTGCACTCACTGTTGTAAAGCCAACTCGAAAGCTATGCCCAATGGTATAGAAGGTGTCACCAGTGGCAAGGAATCTATAAAAAAAATCGTTTTTAGGTGATGAAGTAAAAAAAAGGTGGAAGAATATCATAGACACATTTGCAAAATATATAAAATCTACCAAACCAAAGACCGGCCAAGCAGTGGGCAACATAAAAAAATGGCAGTGGGCTGACTACATGGAATTTTTCCGTCCTTTTTTGGCATTTGCCAAAACGTCGTCTAATGTGAAAGATATTGACGTCATACATTATGAGACTGCCGAATTTAACTCAAATATATATCAGGAAAGGGCTGGAAATGTAGAAACCGAAAATTTGGAAGACCGCGGCCATGGAGAAGATGAAAATGCTGATGTAGATGCAGAAGATGCACAGAACTCCTCGGCAACACAGACAGCACCACCTTCTTCATTGAACACTACAGCAGTGACTACTCCAGGGCACACCTTTCCGCAGACTGCAACTACACCAAAATATAAAACGAGCAGAAAACGCTATGAACCACCATCTTCGTCTGTACAACAGCTCATTAATTATTTTGAAGGTAAAAAACCTAAAAAAGAGAACGAGGCCATTGATTCACTTTTCTTGGCACATGCACAGACTGTAAAAACACTTCCCTTAAAGCGTCAAGCCCGAATAAAACTAAAAATAGCCGAATTAATAGCGCACGAAGAATTTGAACATATTGAAGAAATGTCTTCAGCGTCTACCCAGAATTCTGCAAGTATGTATGATAGTAGTATGTCGTCCTTCCCAAGCGGCACTGGGTTTACTCCAATAATATACCCAACAGAGGAGGCAAATTCTGCCTCGAATTATTTAGCAACATTTAATCCTAGTGGCAACATGTAGTCCAATTATTACAATAAAATATTTATTTCACGATCCTTGAAGTTTTCGTATTTGATAAGCCTACTAATTTTAATACAAATAATTTTTTTACCTGAGTGTAATAGCAAGTCGTTCTTCTGGCGAAATAGCTTCACGATAATTTGTGTCAGATTTTCGTATTTCATCTTTCACCAAGTTCAATATTTCATCGAAACACTCTGGAGTCATTCTAAAATATACGTAAAAAGCGCTGTTCATCCAGCCGAAGTTGTGGCATCAAGGTATGGTATTCCCCAAATTTATTTCGTTCCAAGTTAATATCATGTACCCACTTCCTTCGTTTCCTAAACAAAATTGAAAATATTTGTTTTTTGTACTTCGTTAAACTTAATACATACCCAACTATCAAATGGCGTTAAATAAACATAACTTACCGTGCATTTTGTTCCTCTTCTAAAGCAAGAAATAGAAGTGCCTCCTCTTCTTCTGAAGACGAGCTCATTGCAAAAGGCAAAAATAAAATGTACGCAACCTGTCGAAACCTTCACGTTCGCGGAGCGAATAAGACGCTTTGGTATGAATAAACAGGCGAAACAGATTGCGAATATCGCTATGAATTTCGTTGCGAATACTTCGCCGCGATTATTTCGCGCCGGTTTGTGGGATGCTTAACTCCTGACATTGTGAAATAACAGGACACAAATACTTTTATAAACTTTAAATAAACTAAACATGATGTTGATTCAATGGCAGGCAGATCACATTTACCTAACAGCCAGAATTGTTAGCTATGAGCATTTTCTTTAAAATGCTGTTAACAAAATTTATAGGTTACACCTTCACCATATCCTAGAGTGTTACGTGCAATGGTGTATCTATTTAAAAAAAATGGCGAGAGTGTATGCATCGATATAAGTCGCACCTTCACCGTATTTAAGGATGACCGCGTAGTTCGCGAATGTCTAAAACTTCTGACATTGTGTGATAACAAGACATTAATACTTTTATAAACTTTAAATAAACTAAACATGATGCTGATTTAATGGCAGGCAGATCACATCTACCTTACAGCCAGAATCGTCAGCTATCTAGCGGTCACGTGGTGACTGGGCTATTTAACGTGCGCTAAGGTCTGGCGGTTCAAATTCCTGAGACTTCTGAAAAAGCTGAGACGGGCAATCCAAAATCGTCGTTAGCGAAAACTCTCCAATGGGTAAGACAGCACCACAACAATGCGCATCCTCATGTCTCACAACAAACGAAGTACTGAATCGAGCGATTTGGCTGATAAATTCGTGTTTTCAAATAAAGAATACCTTGTGCCTGAAAAAATGTAAGAAACTTTTGAGGCAAGCCTCGTATGATACATATTCAAAATCCATTTGTCTAGAATTCTGTGGGAGTCAATTTACTTAACATGATTTTTTGTATCAACTACATTTTTCCCGAAAATTATAGATACATATTTCAGTGTCGTCTCTCCGCAGACGTTTTCATTCAGCACAAATGGAACGCTCACCTAAATCAACGTGTACGTCGCCATACATCGAGGCCGATCCGGCCGAAAAGGACAATAAGAGAAGTCTCATTTTGTCTGGCATGTGAGAAGGGACAGGACGCTCAAGGACAACGTAAAGTCAATGAAAATGCCGTCTTTACCTTCATCAACTATCCACCCTAGCGCTTAGCAGTGAAAATCGCCTCTTTTCTTACCAAAGGACCAGGCATCAAACACATGGGAAATAGGATCCTGTCGATTTATCTAAATATTTAGTATGATATATTCCTTGCCTTTCTGAATACGAGTAGTGTCCCTGGAACCAAATCAAAATCATATGATTTATGTGCCTATTGTAGGTTTCAGGCTAAAAACTACTATGAAGAGAATGTCTTCTTCTTATTATACTAAGTGAAATATAAATCCGAACACCCAGTTTAAATGGTTTTATTTTAATAAAAGTTGGTGAATGTATTTATCTTACTGTAAATAACAAGTGAAAAAATTTTCAGCCTTATCAGTTGGACATTCCGGTTTTTATACTGCTTTTTTTTAATTCACTAACGCTCTAAAAATGAATATTTACGATCGGTTACGATGCCTAGAGTACGGAGACCTGTACGATTTCGTCAACTTAGTGAGTTTGATAGGGGCCGTATAGTGGGACTTCGGGAAGCTGGACTTTCTTTTCGGGCAATTGCAGTTAGAGTGCAAAGAAGTGTAGACACTGTGGTTAGGTGTTGTCAGCCTTGGCTTCGAGAAGGCCTTACGCAAAGAGCAAGGGGCACTGGACGCCGCCGTAGAACAACAGACCGTGAAGATCGCCGCCTAAGATTATTGGCCTTAAGGGACCGTTTCTCCACTACCAGGTCCATTGCAAATGAATGGTTTGCAGAACACGGAATACCTATTAGCATGCGAAGTGTTTACCGACGAATGAGAAGTTTCGGCTTGTTTTCATACCGGCCACACTGGGTCCTCCCTTTAACTCGAGAACACCGACGTAATCGCCTTGAGTGGTGCAGACAACGGTCACTCTGGGATCAGTAATGGAACAGTATTGTCTTTAGTGATGAGTCTCGATTTTGTTTAGGCATGCACGATGGTCGTGCCAGGGTTAAAAGGCGACGTGGTGAAAGGAGGAGTCCACAGTTTTTTGTTGAAAGACATGTTCATCGCACTGTGGGAGTTATGGTTTGGGGTGCTATAGCTTATGGTTCCAGGTCACCTTTAATATTCATCAGAGGTAACATGAACGCGCAGCGTTATATACACGAAGTTCTAGAACCCCATCTTTTACCCTATCTTGCCGCCCTGGCAGATCCAACTTTCCAACAAGATAATGCCCGGCCACATATTGCAAGAGTCACAATAGACTTCTTTCAACATAATAATGTCACATTGTTACCATGGCCACCAAGATCTCCCGACTTATCCCCAATTGAGCACGTGTGGGATATGATGGGTAGGAGATTGCTCAATTTACAACGTCCTCTTCAGACTCTAGAAGCACTTCGAGAGGAGTTGGTGGTTGCCTGGAATGAGATACCACAGGAGGACATTGACCACCTGATCAAAAGCATGCCTAGGCCGTTGGAGAATGCGTAGCACATCAGGGTGTATCCACACATTATTAAAGGTCAAAGGGCTTTAAAGCAGTGCAATCATTTTGAAATTTTTATCATTTACTTATTATGCTTCATTAAGTACTTACACAAAATTTTATTAAAATAAAACCATTTAAACTGGGTGTTCGGATTTATATGTCACTTAGTATATTATAATTATTATGATTTTTAGATATATGAAACGCTGAAACTCTCAATTGCTTATTCCATTTCCCGTTTGCCTCACTGAAACTTTCGAACCTGCTTTTACGGTCTATTGTTTATATCTCCCTTTTTTCACTTAGCCACTGTAAAGTTTTTTCATCAACTTTAAAGACCGCAGAAGTAAATTAAATGAATTGCTTTTTGTAAGCATCTTCGGAGCGGGGTTACTCGTGGTAATGCTGGCATCAGTTAGCTTTCCTTAAAGAGGGTTTAATTTCGCTGTGCCAACTCCAGTTCGCTAAGTAGCCGTTCCGCTTATCCATCATCCGGTTCTGAGGGAGAACTTTTTGTAATTTCACAGGAAAATCCCCGCGATATGAGGATATGAATTAATAGCGCATCGCCGTACGCATTATATCACTTCATTTTCAGCATACGCGGACATTCCGAGAACTGAATTCCGCTAAAATCTTCATTTACGGTACGGATGTTACGTTCGGTTTTGCGCTTGCAGATTTTACGAGATGTCAGGCGTGTAACATTAGAATTAATGGCCGTGTATCCCAGATTGAATCCCAAATTGTGGACAATATTTGTTTATACAGGGCGAATATTTAAGGGTGTTAATCTACATGAAAAATTAATGTTAGTTTGCTTTGTAAACTATGGTCCAAAAATGTTTCCTTACAAAAACTCGGGGTATTGGAGTTTTAGAAAAATTATTTTTGCATTGAAAAATACGCAACTTTATTAACTTTCACTACGTACTAAAAATCAATGAAATATCTAAAGCGGTTCTGAAAATATTAATTAATTTCCATTTTTTTCCTAAAACTTCAACACCCCGAGTTTTTGTAGGGAAATATTCGCATATCATTAACGAACACCCTGTATAATGGGTGGACAGGTGCGGAATAAGAGCAAAATGTCAAAATTAAATCAACTTCCGGATTTTGGAAAAAACGTCTTTTAAAAAGAAAACTGACGCTCTTTAACCGACAAACGGAGCAATTTTGCATA